GTAATTACACAGCTAAAAGCAGCCATTTGGGGTTGGGCAAGATCTCATCATGGTTCCAATTCCCTCTGGTGTCATTTTCTGTTATATTTGAGAAATTCCTCAATAAAGATGTCAAATAGAGAGAGGGTTGCACTCCCCAGAGGACAGATTTGGCCCCTCTCCAGGACACAGTCATGGGCAAGCCATCTCCAGAAAATAACTTCATGTACTCAAAAGAAAAGAGAAGATTTGAGTGCAAATACCCGAGCAAAAAATAACCCTTCAGCCACTCATCTCATGTCTCCTAACCAACTCAGAATGCTTTCCAAACTTCGCTACTTATTTCTGAGGTAATCAGGGTTTTGTCCCGGCCACCATCCCTGAGGAACGCAGGGGTGGCTCACAGAGGAATGCTTGCAGGGAAACTCTCGACCAGACCTCTGGAGACAAAACAGCACCAGGCCACACCTCTCTTTCCCCAATTCGTGATGGCTCTGGGCTGAGCTTCAAGGATGACCAGAGAGGTCAGGACTCCAACAGCTCGGCCAGCCTCTCATGGTCACAATGCAGCCCCCGGCAGGCTTGTGCTGGAAGCTCTGCCAGGTGGCACATGGATAGTTCTTAATTCTAGCCAGGTGGTTAAATGGCCAAGGCGGTCAGCTATGAGCAAGGTGGAGTGGTGGGGACTGGGGGATTGAGGGGCATCCTCCTACCCTCCCTCTGGGGCACCTCTGTCCTAGACCTCACACTTCATCCCTGCTCTGCTCCTCCTATAGCGCAGCCCACCCCATGGGATCACACGTTCATGGAGGAATCATGGATATCCGGAACATGGATCTCCCAACCTTAAACCACATCCTGTGTATCTGAGACACTCAAATTCCTTCCCCAAGTGGTCCCAAGCCTTCAGTTCTCAGACAGACAAATGTCACTTAAGTCTGAGCCATGCAGATAGTCAGCTGCTTTCGGGATGAGTGGCCAGAGTGCCAACACTTAGGCTGGGGTGTCTCAGGCTTGCTGAGGGGTAGGATGGAGCCAGGGGCAGAAGGGGGAGAGGAGCAGGCATTGCCCACGCTACCACTTTCTGGCCCAGAAGTCCTAGAATTCTAAATTCAAACCTAGTTTCCTGCTCATTAGGAAGGAATGTCAGCCAAGGCGCAAGAGGCAGACTATAGTCTAGGTCTGCAGCACTGTCATTAGCTGTGTGGGATGCAGGCCTCTATCTGTACTTCTGTCTCAAGTCCCCAATTCTCAGGGGCTGGCTGGCTGGGGCCATGCAGCAGTGGTGGTGGAAATACCGATTTTTATGCCATATGCCCTAGTTTTAATGTGTTGACAAGTCACCTAGTGATAATAATAACAAACAGCACTACCAGAGTGGGGACAAACCAGACGTGCTTGTGGGTCAGATGGGGGCTGCAGGCTGCTGGCTTAGAACCTGTGCCTCGAAATGGTGAAACATGCAGCCTAGGACAGAACTTTACACTCATATCTCCTGCACATTCAATCCCCATGGCGCTCCTCTGCGGCTGGTACGACTGACCCATTTCACAGCTGAGGGGGACTAAAGTTGGGAGGGTCTGAGGAGCTGGTCTGAAACTCTCAGACGCAGGCATAGTGGCGCCACAACTTGAGCTGCAATCTTCCCAGCCCAGCTCCCTCTTGAGGCATTATTTGTTTCGGCCAGTGTGTACTAAGCTCCCGTGTCCTGACACCACACCAGGTATTTAATTCTCACAGTGGTTCGTGGGTGAAGGAGCTGAGGCTCCCAAAGCTCAGCTGAGTAGCCCGAGGTCACACGGTCAGTCTGGGTTGGAGCCGGCTGGAACCGAGGCCTCATTACTCTGAGCCAGAGTTTTGTCTTGAGGAGGAAAAAGACCAAACAAAAAGAACTCTGTTGGGAAGGGTCTGCCCTCAGCCTTGAGCAGAGAGGCACAGAAAGATCCTTTTTTTGGCAGCCATATGTGTGCGTTAGAGCCTTGGGGAGTCGCAGCCTGTGCTCAGAGGTGGTGGTGTGGGGTGTGAGGGGTGGAGGTCCTGCCTAGCTCTTTAGATTCATCAGTGAAACAAGAATCTACTGTAAACATCCACATGGACTTCACCATCAGTCCACAGGCTGGAGGGCTTGGGCTCCAGAGGGACGGGGTGCCTCTGTCATGGCCCAAATGGGGTGTTTACAACAGGTGGGAACGCTGGAGCCAGCAGGGCACCCCAAGTGTCAGACACAGTGCAGCCTCACGAAACTCTACAAGGTCCTGGAGACAGCCATCCAGCCCATACTGACACATCTCTCCCTAGCTGGAGCATTCTGGGTGGTCAGTGCCAGGCACATTGCTCTCTGCTCTACGTCCATGGTCTCATCAAGTCCTCCTCACAGGACAGGGCCGTTGAACTTCATTTTACAGGTGGGGAAACTAAGACAGGGAGAGGTGAAGCTACTGGCCAAAGGCCACATAGCTCCTGATGGGAAAGCCTCCAGCTGGCAGTCCCCCAGGGCTGTGCTCTTGGCAGTAGGGGCTCCTGCCTGCTTCTCACGGGCAGTGCCTCAGGGATGGTGAGCTCTCGTGGGCAGTGCCTCGTGGATTCCCCAACTGTCCCTTAACATCTGAAAGGATGCAAACAACTAGAGAAACGAAGCACTTAGTTCTGGGAGGGTTAAATAAGAAAACACTTGGACCTGTGGTGTGTGGCACAGTACAGGTCACACGGTTCCTACTCAGAGATGCTGCCTGGCTCTGGAGTCCCGGACTGTCACCCTCCAGCACACCCTGAGCCTGGTCTAGAGGAGCTGCTGCCGCCCTCCCCACACAGTGTCCTTAGCCTCACAAATCCCCCCACCCTGGAGACCCCGCCTAGTGCCACCTCCCCTTCAAAGCCCCCTCTTAGCCCCACTGTCACCCCCGGCGCACCCCATCCCAGTTTATGCTTTTTGCATAGGCCCTTCTGGGCTTTAGTAACTTGCTGTCCAGACCTCTGTTTGGCACTTGTTTGGGGTGTAATTACATGTTCACAGATCTACTTCCCATAACGAGATCGTCTGAGGCTCAACATGCATTAAACAAAAACAGGCAGGGAACCCTGGGCTAGCACACTACGAAGAGGCCAAGTCCTGGAATACTCAGGGCGTCGAGCTGCCCATCCCACGCGCCCACAGGCCAGCAGCTGTGACGGGAGGTTTGCTTAGCTCTTTTGGAAGCACAGCATAGAAGCCCATAAAAAGTCTAAATGATCTTTAAACCCTTTAGTTCCACTTGTGGGAAGCATTCCTAAAGGAACATTTAGGAAAACATGAAAGAAAAAGTGTTATGCTCAGAATCACCTCTGGCTTCTCATTGAAAAAATAAAACAAAGCCCCCACTGATAGGTGGCCTAGTCATCTGGAGTAACAATAATGCCTGTGTTTTGACTATTTAGCACCAACTAAGTGCGGCTCCTGTAGCTTTCTGTTGTCATTGCATCCTCACACACAACCTGGTGATGTAGGCAGCATAGTGACTCTCCTCTACAGTGGCCCTAGGGCTCTGAGACCAGGATGACAGGACTAGCCACAAGCTGCTGAGAGCCCTGCGCCAGGCCTATAGCTTAGTGGTCGGGACACTATCTTGGTTCCTACTCACAATGGCCCTGTAACTGCCCTTGACAGGCTCCCTTCACCAGCAAGGGACCAGGACCTAACAGGTCCGTAGTGTACCAATGGCCACGCTCCTGCCTGACCCACACTCTTGCCTTCTACCTTCCTGCTGTTGTGCCCTCATCACCCAGCAGCCAGTGGCAGCACAGGCTGAGGACAGGCAGGTCTTCCTACCAGGAGATGCCGTTCCCTATGTTACAGGCTGGGAACCACAGCAGTATGTGTTGAGTGGTGTCTCCCCAGCAGATGCTGAAGTCCTAGCTCACAGTGCTTGTGAATGTGACCTGTTATGGAAATATGGTCTTGGCAGATGATCAGGTTTGGACGGGGTGGTTATGGTGGGCCCAAACCCAATGTAACTGGTATCCTTACAAATGGGAATTTGGACACAGAGACGGGCATGCAAAGAGCTAAGACAGTGTGAAGATACAGGCAGCATTGCCAGCTACAAGCCAAGGAATGCTTGAGGTTACCATGTGTTAGGAAAGGTGCCTGAGGCAGGCGGGCTCACAGCCCTCAGATGGAACCAGCTCTGCCCATACCTTGATTTTGGGCTCCTAACCTCCAGACATGTGGGATAATAAATCTCTGTTGCTTAAGCCACCCAGTGTGTTAATTCGCTATGGAAGTCCCTGGAAACTCATACAATTATTAGCAACTCATCAGACTATGGTGCAGTAGGAAAATGGTGATGACGGGCCACATAAAGATGCCTGAAGTGCAGATTTGCCCAGCGCAACAGTAAAAACGCACCCGGGCAGAGAGAAGACAGCAGCACATGAATACACCAGCAAAACCAAAACGCTGTCCAATTGTTTCATCCCTGTTCTATAGGTTCCCAAGTTTACACTTATAAATCTTATGGAATTGTTTTAAAACATGGCATTTAAACCACAGGAATCTGTAGGTATACAAGATCATGGGCTGTGTCCCCTCAAAATTCTTATGTTGAAGGAATTCAATCCATAGTACTTCTAAATATGACTATACCTGAAGACAGGACCGTTAAAGAGGTAGTCAAATAAAAATAGAGTTGTTAGATGGGCCCTATTCAACATGATGGGTGTCCCTATAAGGACACAGAGAGACACTGGACACAGGATGCACAGAGGAAAGACCGTATGAAGGCAGAGCAAGAGGGTGGCCATTTGCAAGTCGAAGAGAAAGGCAGAAAGAACCACATGTGCTGTACCGTGATCTTGGACTTCCAGTCTCCAGAACTGTGAGAAAAAGAAATCTCCTGTTTAAACCATCCATTCTGCAGGATTTTGCTATGGCAGCTCGGGCAAAATCATACAGGGAGCCAGAGGAGGCCAAGACTCCCCACAGCCCCCAGCGCTGAGAGCTAGAGGTGAGAAACAGGCAGCTGGGCCTGAGAGGTGTCACTCACCCAGGCAGTTGTGTCCATCGTGAGCCAGCATGAAGCCGTCGAAGCAGGTGCACCTGTAGTTCCCCGGGATGTTGATGCACTCATGCACACAGCCCCCGTTGTAGGAGTCACTGTCACACTCATCAATGTCTGCAGGATGAGGGACAGAAGAGGCGTCAGAGGAAGAGCCTGGGGGTCCCCCCTCCTACCACTGCTGAAGCTCTCAGGAGGTGGGTGATGAAGGGATGACTCAACAGGCATCCAGTGGAGTTCTTCCTAGGGGATCGGGTTATCAAAATGAAGATCCTGGCCGGCAGCCGGGTGGTAGAGCAGGGCCACGTGCTGGCATCCATGGGGTGACTTCCAATTCCTACCATGGTGAAACAGGCAAGATTCTCACTTTGCCTTCCTCCAAAGCCTCTCAGCACCAACAGTATGTAGGGATCCTGTCTATAATCCCTGAAAACTGGCTCTCCTGAAGCAGGGGAAATTGAGTAAAATTAACTTTACACATCACTTGAAAGTGTAATCCTGGAATGAAAGAAAAGTCCACTAACTCCCTCAAATACTTTCCTTCCATATGCAGCCTCTGACATCTGAATTTCAACTGTTCCAGCTTCCTTGTTAAAAAAAAAAGCTTCTGTTTCATAAACAATGGCCAATAGCCTTTGTAAAGGTCACCTTTTTTTTGCTGTTATAAGTCTTTTTCAACATTTTCCACCACAGGTCAAAGAGCTATCAGTTCTGGAGTTCCAGGGAACAAAAGAGGAACACCTCAGAGAAGAACAGAAACACACCCAGTTAACATTCAGTGAGCTGCCTTACTAACCCAAACCCTGGTCACGAAGACTACACGTCAATGTCTGCTCAATCTCAGGATGTAGACTCTACTACCATTCGTCCAACTTTACAAGGACATGGAAGAAACACAGGCACAGGGAGGCTAAAACTTTGCCAAAGCTCCCTGACCTAGGAAGTGGCATAGAGGGATTCCAACAGTGCAGCCTGGCTCTGGATTCTCAAACCCGATAGGCCTCTCAGGGAGGGCATCTGGGCACAGGGAGACTCTGTCAGCCATGGCTGAGGGAACTGGCTCCTCAAGGGGTGGGGGTTTGACTTCCACATTCCCAAATACTCCCTGGCCTAAACCATCTCAACCTACATCTTAGCATGATATCCACAGGCTCCAGAATGACCTCCGGAGGGAGGGAGAGGGAAGTGATGAGCAGCAGAACTGGTGGAAGTTTTGCAATAAGCAGATACAGAACCGGAAATGACTCTCCTGAGGCAATCCAGTGGGAAGAAGCAGTCCTTCCCCTATCCAATATGAGAGGGATTCTAAGGGGGAGTTCCAGCTTGGAGAGCAGGCACGGTACCAGCCAGTGCCAAGAGGAGAAGAGCCTGAAGGTGAGCCTGACTGCTTCCTCAATTGCCTGAGGAGTGACCCCAGGGAGACCAGAGCTTCCTGCTGGTCCAGAAGGCAGAGCTACTGGCAGTAGCGGAAGCCACGGGAGCCAATTAACCATCACAGTAGGGATTCCAGCCTGGAAGGCAGAAGCTGGCTTAGTGGGTAGTAAGCTCCCTCCTTGCCCTGGAGGTTACTAAGCACTGCCCTGACTCTTGCCTGCTGCAGACACCCCTCGTAGACTGGATGTCTTCAGGGAATGCAGCAGAACTGAAAGTGGGTGTACAAGGTCTGGGTTATTTGGCTGACTCCTGGTGTCCACCTTGCCAGGCACAATGAAGGACGGACAAAGTAGCCTAGGTCTCAAAAGGTCCACGAGACAGGAACCTTTGCCCAAGTGCCCTCAATGGCCATGTACATCAGCTGGGAAGCAGACTCGATTCTGCAACTCATTTGAATTGTTTTAAATCCTGATATTTAGTACCTTTAGTAATTGTAAATAACATGAAAGGAGGATGTAAGACTATGTTTATTGAAAGGATGCATAGATTTATAAAAACTGAGGGATTCTGATTGCTCTCCAGTCTCCCTTTGCACCCCTGACATTTCTACAGAGTTCCAGATATACCAATCCATTCATTTCTTCCCCCCTGGATCTACATAACACCCCTAAGACAATAAAACCCAACTTTAATTCACCAAGCTGCACTTCCCTGGGGTTCTCTATTGCATTAAATATGGTTTTCCTTCCCCACTCTGTCTAATCTAATCAGCTACCAAGCTAGTTTTCTGTATACTTAACGTGGTTACAGGCTGCCGCCTGGTCACTTATTTCCATTATTGTTGGCATGAGTATCATCTCTGATTGATCTGACCCAGCAGTCTAATCCAAATAGCACATGCCACTAGCAACTGCTATTGCTCCCATGGTGGGTAGGTGACTTATGTTGGATTAGTCAGACAAGGGGAAAGGACTTTTATTTCATAAAAGAATTTTCTCTCATGTTGTACCTCAGAAGGAAGTGAGCCAGTATCTACTCCTGAAACATCCATCAGCCTTTTAATCCTCACAGCAACCCTCTGCAATAGGTATTTTAACGCCATTTTTATGGGTGGGCAAACTAAAGTACAGAAGGGTTAGGTAATTGCTCAAGGTCACACTGTAGGTGATTGGGCAAGGATCAGAACAAAGGCCTTTCAGTCAACAAAGCCCAGGTCCTTTCTCATAAGTTAGAATATTCATCATATGCCAGTCATTGGAAAAATGCTTTATACATTTTATTTTCCCTGTAGGATATTTAAACAGAGTGCAAAGGAAGTGTCATCCCACCATCCAAGCACCCATTCACCTCTGTCCTCCCACTCATTCCCCATCTAGCCCTCCATACTACATGCACATGGTTGCATGTTCGTCCATCTACCCAAACAACTAGCTGGCCAACCAGCCATCCGTTTATTCAAACAGCTCCTACTCACCAACCACCCATTCATCTATTTACTCTATAACAACTGATCCTTTGAAATACCCACCCAACCATTCCTGCACTTATCTATTTATATTAAAATAATCCATCTAATATCCAGTTAGTTGGCCACCCTTCCATTTATCCAATCCAATATGTGCCTATCCATTGATTTAGCAAAACCCCACCCATATGTCCAAATATTCATGCATGCATCTATTTAAATATTCAGCCAGATGTCTATTCTTCCATTAATCTAAAAATCCACTCATCCTCACATCTGTTCACCCTTTCATCCATCCAGATGCCTAACCTCCCATCCACTGATCCAAACACCCACCCCTCTATCAAACATATACACTGCACACATCCAAACACCAACCATATACACTCATCCATATATTCAAACATATCTAAATGCCTATCCATTCATTCATATACCCAACATTCAAAAATTTATCCATTCAGGGCCAGGGATTTAGCTTTGTGGTGCTGCCCCCTGCCTCGAAAGCACAAGGTCCTGAGGTTGATCCCCGGTACCAAAAAAAAAACACCATACAGATTAAGATTTCTAATGGCTGTTATCATGAAATCAACCAATAACAAATGCTGGTGGGGCTGTGGGGAAAGAGGAACCTGCTCCACTGCTGGTGGGAGTGTAGACTGGTGCAAGCACTGTGGAAATCAGTATGGAGATTCCTCAAAGAACTGGAACTGGAAGTCCCATTTGACCCCGCTATTCCACTGCTGGGGATCATCCCCAAGAATTAAAAGAATCATACCACAGTGATATATGTGCACCCATGTTCATAGCAGCACAGTTTGCAATAGCTAAAACTTGGAAACAGCCCAAATGCCCATCAACTGGAGACGGGATAAAGAAAATGTGGTTTTTTAATAAAATGGAGTACTACTCAGCCATGAAAAATGAGAAATTAGAGACATTTATTGCTAAATGGATGCACACTGAGGTGATACTCTTAAGTGAAATAAACAGGACACACATGTGTAAATACCAATAGTTTCTCTAGTGTGAGAAACTGAAAGTGTAAATAAGGACTAAAAGGTATAATAGATAATGTGAAATAGGAAGAAAAGGGGCAATGGGGAAGGGGAAGTGGGAGGGCTAGGGGAAAGGAAAAAAGGGAATGGAATTAATATGAGAAAATGAAAAAAAGGAAACAAAGTCTTTGTAAATAGGGAGGGATGGAGGGGTTGAAGGGAGGGCAGGGGAAGGGGAAAAATAAGAACCAAGAGAGTATGTAAAGGTACATTCTCCAATGATGAATGTCATTATATTGTACACTTAAAATGTACCAATAAAAGGATATGAAAAAAAGATTAAGATGTTAGGACAAAGAAAAAAGAAATGAAGGTTAATGAATAAGATAAACTGGCGATGGCATCAGAAATATATTTGGTAATTCCAGCACAATTAAAAAGAGGTAGACCATAAATATGGCTGAGCTTCCTAGAAGCCAAAGTAAAGAAACACAATCCACTGCAGAGTCAGTGTATCTATAAAATTCAATTAAACCAGCCATTTTAATAGTATTGAGGGCTGAGATTCCCCATGCCTTCTCACAGGGGACTGTCTCATCCTCTGATAAGAAAGAATCATGCACCTCAACTTGCCTGGCATAGTTCCAGTTCATGCCTATTGTCTGGGTGTAATTACTTTTAGTAATTTTTTTTACTACTAGGATGATAAATGATTGGACCACCATACCGAAAAGCATACTAAAGTGATGGCTGAAAAGGCAATGAAACAACTTCTAGACAGTTCCTCCCTCTGACCACCCATAAGGCAGGCCATAGTAGATGAAAATGGTCCAAAGAGTGCGGGAAGGTTCACTGCTTGCACCTCTTCCCTCAGTCCGTCCCCAAAGAGCGCCCCATGACCTGAGCATCTCTTAAATGACCAGTTCCTCCTCTGTCCCCAGGCCTGATATGCTCCTGCAGGCATCTGTGGCAGCCAGCTTGACTTTCTTTCCCAGTACCCAGGAAGGAGACACCTGCTGTCAAACCAGAACTTCCCTGATTTCTCCTGCTTGTGCCTTGAACTTTTGTTTTTAAAGTTATTTGAACTTCGTCCTTTAATATATAAAGCAAAAATACACAAACCAACTAAAAAATCTCTTATGATGAAAACCACACCCTGAAGTCACCAACCCCTGGAAGAAGGCCTATGGGCCTCAGGACAACTATCAGGCTCTGATTTCTGTTTAAGGACCATGACAGCTAGAGAGCTAGAGAAACTAGAGAAACGAGGGTGTGTGTGT